ACAAAGGCCAAGGGTCACCTAGCCAAGTCAACGAAACCACCCTACTTCGACCCTCCATAATAACACCCACGAATTACCAAAGCAACGTCCTTCTCTCGCGCCGAAATTTAATAGCGGCAATTCACTTCCCAGCAAAGCTGTTTTAGAAACCCCACTACGCAGCGATACCAACCAAAGTTCTCAAACCCATCGAAATCTACGCCTGCCATGCAACGAAACTCGCAAAGATATGAATGCATCGTCCGAGCCTAGAACCAGTCGTCCTCAGCGACGTCGACGGCGCCATGGCTCAAACTCCAATCCACATCTGGTAGAGTAGGGGTTCCTAGCGGCCTACGAGACCATCCGCGTGCGCCCGAAGGACAACCTATCGATGTCGAAGAGGCAACGCCAGACACAAGTCTTCATCCACCGTCTGGGTCAGGTTAACAAGTTGTGAGCCCTATAGTGGCCGATGATCCGACATTCCTATGTCGGCAAGCCAAAGTTAGAGGACAACGGAATCAGCGCAACGGTCATAATCGCGGGCCACCGGCCGAAGTTGACACACGTGCGCTTCAGCAGAATGCGCTACTTCTACAGGCCAAACGGTAAGTTCGCGGTCATCTTTATATATAAAATCAGTAGTCACAATATTCTTCTTTTGCAAGCTATCAACACAACGGCACAGCAGCGATCCTTATCTATTTATAGGTATTTTTATGTTTTTGTATATTTTGTATGTATGTTATGTAAAAGCAGGGATTATATATATTTATTGGCTGGCCTAAAGGGCAGCCAGCCATTCAAAACAATTGGCAACACGTCTATCGGGCCACCTCAAGGGTGGTGTGGAAAATCGTGAGAAGAATTTTAAGGTATATGCAACTAACTAAGGCGAGTGGTAATATACTTAATGGTACATATTGTAAATTTAAACAACTCCCGTTCGTCTTTGTGTTTATATTATGAATTATTATTATTCGAGAGGAACGGGCTTTTATGCTCCTCAAGGGTGGTGTGGAAAACCGTGCCATAACTACGAGCCCATCATACAACGTCGTTTTATATCTGCATTAATAAATGAATATTATCATTAAATAAATATTCGTTATTTGCTGACTTACGTTTAAAATGTTCTAACATTTCGGGTGGTATAGGAATTTTGTTTACGGTCTGTACTTGATTTAATTGCTGATGGCCCATTGACAAACTGGACAAAGTCTGGTAAACGTAATCGTTGAGGCCACTAGCTGTAGCCATAAATTAGTTTAAATTAGTTCTGGCAAAATATTAATCGAATGATAGAAATAATTTATGACTTGCTTCGAATAGGTCGGGCGCCGATAAATTCTCAAACTCATATTTATCCAGCATGTGCTTTGCTATATCGAACAAATCTACTTGTACAGAGTTCATTGTGTTTCGTGGTTGCCAGATATATCACACAAACTACGATTAAGAAAAAATATCTAAAGCGTGTACCCGGAATAATACCAAGCTCCTAAAATTTTTATATTTATATAAAATTAAAAAATCATCATTCATCTTTTCTGGATATTGGGCTTAAAGCCATCTACTGGCGGGAGCCTGCAGGCTTTTCCTAAACCAGCTGTAGAGGCTAACGTTGGTATACAGACCGCAAACAAGGAGGTTGATTGTTCTGGTTCCTTCTTGGTGTACGTTGCTTGTTTTTTGGTGTAGGTAGCTTCTTTTTCTTCCTTTTTGGTGTAGGTTGCTTGTTCTTGTTCCTTTTTGGTGAAGGTTGCTTGTTCTTGTTCCTTTTTGATATAGGTTGCTTATTCTTTGATCTTTCGCTTCTTTTCGCGCAGATTACGGACTCTGTCTCTTCTTCTGTCTCTTCGGCCAACCGCTGGTTTTCCAGAGATAATTGCATCGAGCAGGTAACGCCCAGCCGATGGTGAAAATCGCTCCCTGGCTGGTTGCTTTTGCTAGGATGCATACAAATTTCATCGCTTTCGGGACACAAATTTCTGAAGCATACCTGGATCAGGAAAAAATACCCGTAATAACGTCGAGATGACTTAAATGTAAAGTAAGAAAAAATCCAATTGACTTCAGAAGTGTATAGGAATATTTAACTTTTGCATTCATTCTTTACACAAAAGAATATATGAAGTAAGTAACTTTCTTCAGTAGTTGTATTCAACACATGAGGCAGCGCATAGTGCAAAACCCAATAGTCATTTCACTAATCTGGAAATTCTCTCCCTTTTTTTTATATTCCCTTCTCTATTTGTGGTACAAAAGAACTTAAAATAGACACATCTTTTAATTTACTGATACGTTCAGAATCATTTCTTCATACAATGTAAGCTCGCCTGTCTCTGTGTCTGTCTGTCGGCCTCGTGTTTAATTTACATGTCACAAATTTTTGGGATATTTTCATAAAATTTGATAGACCGGCTTGTTTTGGCTCAAAGATGAACACTATTGAAAATGGATCGGACCACTTCCCGTATAACGCCTTTGAAAAGTGCTTATATATCTTTTTACTTGTTTATTTAAAAAAAGAAAATTGCATAGAAATACTAATGAAATGGAAGATTCCAAAACTACGTAGCGATGTCCACATGGCTGTTTGTTTATTTCTTGCGTTATTGGGAAATTTGTATTGAAGAATTTGCGCTTGTAGTCGCGGCAGTCGTGATAGAAATTTTCTTTGTTTATAGAAAATAAAAACAGGGCCCGACCAAGACAATATTAGCCAATAAACTGTAATAGTAAGAATATAGAAAGTATTAATCTGAGACCGTAATCTCAGACTGTCCGAGGGTTTAAGAGGGTTAAAATTTTAGTGATCAGCTTACAGACGAAACCGAAATAAGCAAAAAAAAAAACGTTTCGTGTCAAATGTTAATCTTCTCATTACGTTCCGCTTGAGGTAGGTTTGCTGTAGGGCCGTGTAGTACTATAAGGTGATAGTAACTTTGATGGTTTTACATTTTGCGCCATTACCTGTAATGGTTCAACACATCTCATAGTGAAAACTATAATGAAGTTTTTAATGTCATCTAGAACGCCTTAAATTGCTTATAAATGTGTACGTTACTATTAATCGAAATTGTACAACATCTATTACGTGCGTACTTCTTTCCCTGCCTCTCCTTTTTCCTACGTAATCATACATATATTGTGTAATGTATGTTTACAATCTGTACATATGCATATATATGTACACTTATATATGGTCAGTTAACCTTTTGCTTAGTAAATGGTAGAAGAGCATGGAAAAAAAGAATTTCAGACCACGCCACAGTGAGTAAGCCAAAAACAATCTTTCATCAGCAATTTTCAAACAATAAATTGCGACCATCTGAGAGTAAGCGTCTATGTTTGTTTACAATTCTCAATAGTTGAAAATGTATTTGTTTATTAACAGCTGTCGCATGTATAAAAATTGCGACCATCTGAGAGTAAGCGTTGTAACGAGTGTTCTTGGGCTTGAGTCTTCTTCCTCCAAGAATATTTATAAAAATTACTTGGACCTTCGTTTGCGGTTTTACGGGTTTATTTATTTAACTTTATATTTTATATAGTATTTACACGAATTGTAAGAAACGTGGGAGGAAAATCCAGCGTGGTGACCCGACTTTTCGTTGGAGTTTTAATATAGCTTATTCGAACACTTGTTATTAGACTTTCCTTTTGGTATCGCTGGGTGCTAAAAAGAGACGAATACGTCGCGGATGTCATAGCAGCCTACCTTACCCTACAGCGCCACTCGTCCGTCCCTAGCCGACTCATGTCGTAAAAAAAATATTCATCAGTGCTTCAGGAATGGCGATTAAAGCTGAAGCAATCCATCCCCTGTCCGTGAAAGTCACAAAAAAAAAACCCTATCATAACAAGTTAACTAGTTAAGTAGTCTATGATTACTTACCCTTGGCTGCTATGACACAACTGAAAGGCTAAGCGTGGTGCGACACGCTCTTTGATTATATATCCAATGCAACTCATAACCTTACCTCAAGTACTCTGGTATTGGTTTACCAACTGTTGAGAGTTATAGCCCATTCGGGATTGATAACATCGCTGGCAAAACATGATAAACCGATCAGCAGCATTTGAGCTTCTGGACGACTCAAAATTCTCTTCAGTTGCAATGTAGCGAAGGGGCTGGTGCTGTAAAAAGAAGTTGTGTTTTCTGTATTATGTGATGAATCGTCGTTGATGACTGCATAGTGCTTGGTTTTTGTTGATAAGATTGTCTAAACAGCAAATTCGCGTTTTTTTAAATAAACAAGTAAAAAGATATATAAGCACTTTTCAAAGGCGTTATACGGGAAGTGGTCCGATCCATTTTCAATAGTGTTCATCTTTGAGCCAAAACAAGCCGGTCTATCAAATTTTATGAAAATATCCCAAAAATTTGTGACATGTAAATTAAACACGAGGCCGACAGACAGACACAGAGACAGGCGAGCTTACATTGTATGAAGAAATGATTCTGAACGTATCAGTAAATTAAAAGATGTGTCTATTTTAAGTTCTTTTGTACCACAAATAGAGGAGGGAATATAAAAAAAAGGGAGAGAATTTCCAGATTAGTGAAATGACTATTGGGTTTTGCACTATGCGCTGCCTCATGTGTTGAATACAACTACTGAAGAAAGTTACTTACTTCATATATTCTTTTGTGTAAAGGAGCGTAATGGTTTATTATTTGCTGGGATTTGGTCATAGTAAAAAGCCAGCGTTTGTTTTTTTGGACTTGCATCCTTTTTTCCGCTAACATTCTTGTCCTGAGCGTTTGCGTTAACTTCATTTTTTTGAAGGCTTTTGGAATGTGTACTATTTTGAACGTGTGATGACCATTTTGATTCAATCTATCGAAATTTTAAATAAATATTAAAAACTTTGAATATACGGATATTATTTTTTGCAATTTAGGAAAATATAAAAATTGTTTACCAAATTAGCTTTTTGAATGCGATTTTCTTTTTTAAACTCGTCGTTATTGATATCATCATCACCTTCAACAGAATTTTCTTGTTTTTCCGACAATAAACTTTCTCGATCGGTCATCATCGAAACCGATACTTTTAGTATTTCAAGCTAAATACAAATAAAAATCCGGACATTACTGGTTTCACATAGTTTTTGGTGACAATATCATGTCTATCCTTAAAAGACGATTTTTCTTCGCTCTCATTTCCATCCGTTGATACTGGAAAATATGGGAAAAAGATTACAGTTTCAGGATATACAAATGACTTTAAAGATCGATTAACAATAAATGTACCCAAATCGCTATTTCGTCTCTGCTGAATTGTTGTTATTATAATGTTGAGATGCCATATAATAAATATCGGACCACTTATTAGGTTGTAGACGTCCGCTACCAATGGGACGTTGCTTATAATAGCAGGATCCTTAAAGTAGTATACAAGACATTTATCTACTTTAAATAAATATAGAGAAACTAAATTTTGCGATATCATGTAATCGGAACTCCTCCATATCTTAAGACGTTTCAGGCGTGCTTCCAATTCAATCACGCAACAATCGATAATTATAGGCGAATGATTACCCCGTTTAACTTTGGTAGTGGTTATGTATTTACTTATAAGCAATAGACTACCACGAGAGTATTGTAAAAACGAAGCGTTCATCAAGGATTTGCATTTCTCCAAATGCTTCCCATCATTATCTGTGGACGATGTGCTCGTGACAGGCGATGGAACTGATTTGTAAGTGGTCAACGTATATGTGTTGCCTTTCGAATTATATGGAGTTTCCTTAAAAGGTTGTTGCGTATTTTCTGCTAGGTTCTCCTTGACAGACTCACATGCTCAACAGATTTCTCCAAATCACAGCTAACCAAGGTAAAAAGAAATGTTCTTCTACTACCAACTAACAAGATATGACCAAAAGATCGTTCCGTGTGATAATTACTTTATTACCACTATTTTGTAACAACATATCACCTGTCTTTTTGTCGTTTTATTTATTAAAATGATTTAAATCAATTGACGCCAAGTCCAATGCAAATGGAGATCGCGAAAATGAACAAAAACAATGAAAATTGCCGTTAAGTAACGCTTTTTGTTTTTGTGATTTTTCATTAGTGTTGTTAAGCTACAAATGAGTTGCCACTCCTAAGATCGTAAAAATTTAATACAAAAAACGCTATAACGCTATATTTTGGCATTCGAAATTGATGTAAAAAAGCGGGTGTGGCAATTCTGTGAAGTTGCCTATAGAAACTGAATCTTTATATGTTAGAAAGGCTTAATTTTCAATATTTCTTGATGAAAATTCGTTCGTACATTAGTGTAAGATAATTAGACAAATAATTTCTAAATTTAAAATAAATCTTTGGCTTTGAAAGGAACTTTTGCAGGTTGATGATAGCTGCAAATTGTTCCGTTTGAAGCAGAACTGTTTTGTAGAGGTTGATGAAAGCTCTACAAAATAGTTCGCAGTGAGAAAAAAAAATAAAAAATTCAAAAAAATAATTAAAAAAATTAATAAAAAAACAAAAAAAAAAAAAAAAAGACGGAACAATCTTACAATCTTAGTTTATAGAGTTTTATTATTATTAATTTGAAACTTACATTTAAGCTTCTTTAAGATTTTAAATTTTTATTACTTTGTAGTATTGTGTTATTTTGTAAATATTGCAAATTTTTTTGGTCAATAAATCGAATTTAAAAAAAAAAATATTTTAAGACCTATAATAAATATTCGTTTCAATTCAGTGTAAGTCGTATCAGTTGAAGTTGTTTTGTCTCAGTTTCTCGCATCAAAAATCGTATATTTTTCTTTCACTTCTATCAAGTTGCAAAATTCTTAGTACTAGCGCCAAGCTAATCACAGGATTTTTATATATGGAAAGAGAATTATCATTTTATTTTTGAAAATAGGGTAAA